CTTGGTGGAAAAGCTGAATTTGTTTCCTTTTGCTTGTAACTACCTTGCTTATACTAATGCATCTCTGTGGATGTGCTCTGAATGGAAGGTTTATCACATCTAGATGAAAAATAACCAACCAGCTCCCTGATCCAGTCCACAGTGCCAGCAATCCCCAAATTATCACAGTGCAATTTGGAAGGGTGATTTAGGAATTGGTACGAGCAGCTGGACACGAATGAAGGTTGCTGTAGCTGACCCTGCTGCTGAGGAAAACAGCCTTACACTGCTCCACAGAGTAAGAGGGGTCACTCTTGTCAACCAGTGCAGCCTCAAAGAAAACTTGCCAATGTGGAGTTCCACAAAGTCTAGAGGTGTATCAAGTGTTTAAAAATGTTTTGCTGCACTCAGAGTGGAAGTGCATCCTAATGGAGGCATTGTAAGGTATAATACTGTGCATGAAGCAGTCATGCACTCTGAGTTTGATCTGTGCAGACCTGACACATCGGCCTTACCTCCTTGTCTCAGACCTTGAAAAGACAGTTTTTCTAAGGCCATAGCTGCCCTGCCCAGCAGAAGAGGTTAAGACTGAAGAGCTTGAAGTCACCAGGGGTTTAATTACAAGTAGGGTTGCATTCTGAATATGCAAAACTTGAGTCTAATCCCTTGGAGCATGTTTAGGGCATGAAGATGTGTACAGGGTAGAGTCCTGCCCAGCGTTATCAGATCCAGCAATCCCTTTGCCTATGTAGGACACGTCTGTGTGCCAGCACACGTCTTGCAGGCGCAGGTAAATGCGTCAGAGCTCATAAATGCTGCTGAACCAGTGCAGAAGAGCCTGTTCCCACTTCAGGCTTGCTGATTTCAGGATCATTGCAGGCAGAGACACCTGCCTGTCTTTACCTGTCCATGTGCATGTATCCCATGTGTGAGTGTGAACTGATTCCCAAACCTTGTTGGTGGTCAATTGGTGGTCAGTTTCTAGAATGAGACAAAGCTTTACCCTCTGCCTTTTTTGATTAGAACTTGAAAGGAAAGAGAGCTCTGATCTCTTGGGGACAGTGACCTCATCTGGTGTTTTCTTTTGGTGGTAAATATTTGTGTTTCAAAACAAAGCTATAGCTGTTGAACAACCTAAAACTTTTTATTTCTTTGTGTCTGCTGCCTTCTTGGTTGTGAGATGATGGATCCATTCAGTAAAACGTGCCACTTTTAAGCAAATTAAGAGACAAGAGACAAACAAAACAATTATATTTACTGAAATAGGTTCTGAAGAAGATGATGCATCCTCATCAAAGTCCCCAGTGTAGCTAGAAGCTGCTGTCTTGCAGTGAGCAGCTGATTAACTGCTACCTGAGTAGCAGCAGTGGGTTAAACTCTTTTCAGGCAACATTACCAGAATAAGATTCAGGAATATAGGTAGAGTTGTTCTATGATTCAACTCTGAAGTTAAATTCCTGCTACAGTTTCCCCTTTGCCCAGTTTGTACATCAGTTCTGGAGTGCACCATATCTCTTCTGTCTTTGTCAAAACATATGTATAACAGAGATACTGTGTCTACAGTGACAGTGGGCATGGCAGTGGGTTAAGAGAGGAAAGCATTGGGTATCGGTGCTAGTCTACCATAATAGTGGTTTGTTTGTTGAACTTGATGTGTTTAAGTCACTAGATCTGTATCCTTGTGAAGGAAAATTGTCTAAAGGCTGTGGAAAATAAGTTGACTGTGACACAGACTCTTTGGTTTGGTATGTGACACTGCAAGGTAATCCCATAAAACAAGTGATTCAACTCACTGCAGGACTTTGAGAAGGCTTTGAATCAATGCCTTCAGAAACAAGAAAAAGGTTCAAAAAGCCTCTGTGTTTTACTTGGGTCCCATTAAGCTGCTGCTTCCATCTATTGTTTTCCTATTGCAGGTAGCAAAATAGTTCAATGTAAAAAGAAGTGTTTTGTCCAACCTTCCTACCCTCCTGTACAGCTTTGCAGCACAAATCCAGACATTGTAAGTGTGCTTGCAGAGGTAAGTGATAACTTCACAAACACAGACTGGAAGTATTGCTGCAAAAATCACATAAGATTGTACATTAAAAGTGGGAGAGACAATGCAGAGGGTGGTTCAGGCTTGATTTGGTAGAAGGAGTTGATCTGGCTAGAGTGCCAGAGTTTTGCCAGAGCATCTTGTCTCTGAAGGGACACTTAGAGCAGGTAGAGGCTGGGTTGGTACCCAGACTCTCTGAAGTTTAACTGGGTGTCTTTGGCAACCATCTGCTTCTCAAAGTCCTTAGTCTGCAGGTGTTTATAACGTGGTATCTCTGTGTGTAGTTTCTGCTGGAACTGTAGGCTGTGTGAAGTGGCTGGGGTAGGCTCAGCAAGGTGAGAGACAACAACAGCTCCAGTCAGAGCTGGGCTGTGGGAACATCATGTTGAATGATCTCCTTGGCCTTTGGGGCTGTTCTCTTGCTCTTGCAGGCATCTATGTCATGCAGACCCTCTGCAGTGTGCTCACAATTCACTGACATTTTCCTTCGGCTACAACTGGTCTTCCCAGAGACTTCCTTCTCTAGCAGTTGAACTGCTTAATATTGAGCAGAAGCTGCTCACAATTAAACTATCTCTGTGTTCTTGCTGATGTGGCTTCTCCACTTCTCCAGGGTTTGTTCCCACTTGACATGCTTATAAAATATATCTTCATGGTCTCCTGGTTTTACTAAAGAAGTGCTCTAAGCTGTTTTGGTCACCCCATCTGAGGTAGGAGCTGTGGTGTGGAGCCTGTTCCAGCTGGAACACTGTCCTGCCAGGAACAGCTACACTGGAAACAGTGTTTTGGGGTGATAAAAACTGCTTTTGCACTGTTGCCTGTCATTGCTTTGCCACAGGGGTTTTCCCATTATAGATCAAATCCCTAAGCATACACATTGTATGGAAAAAAAGGGCTTTGATTACACCGACAGCACCTTGGATTGTAACAACCTCTTCTTTTCTGGTCAGCTGAGCCCTGTATGCTGTAGTTTCATCTGTTTTTACTTATAGAGGCACCGTTCAGCATGAAACTATATTTTTAATACAAATGTGTAAATAATATAGGTAGAATGCCATGCACTATTGGGTGGGGGTTTTGTAACACAAAGTTTGGTTTTTTTATACACAACCCCCTCATGCTTCTAGTTTTTGTGTCTTTGCTGCAGGGTGGAAGTTGAGGGGGTGCTGCATGCTGTGACAGTTGGGCAGGGAACACATGTGGGATGAGATTGGCACTCACGGGGAGCTGGGAAGCACTGTGGTACTTGCATATTTGCCAGATTTCTGGGAAAAATTATCATTAGTTAAGCAACACTGATATTTAAGCATTCCTCCTCATTTCATAGCCCTGCTGAATAGGAACAGTTTAGATAGGGCCCCAGTGTCAAGCTGTCAGCTGCTGCAGGAAGCTAAGGCATAATTTTTAATTATTTTTTCAGCCATCAAGGTAACGAAGGCAAAAATACAGTTTTCTAAGACACTATCAGGCCCACTCTGCAGGGAATAGGTGGGTTAAGTGTAGGCAGTAGCACAAAATCTCTGGAGTCTTGATTTCAGCTTCTGTGGGACAGGCCTTTGTCTGTATTTAAATTTTAGTAAAGCTAGTGGATAAAAATTTTCTGAGAGAATCTTGGAGCAAACACATCTGGTGCTGGAGCTGCACAGTCACTATTGCCCTGATCATACTGAGCTGAGCTGGGGTCCCAGCTGGCATCACTGCATGCATGTACCTCTCCTTAACCCTGCTCCTTTCCTGAAAAAGCCAGCTCAGAAAGAAGATCTGAAGTTGCTGAAGTGTGTGAGGTACCTCAGCCCTTTTCTAAGACAGCAAATCAGGCTCCAGCAATCCAGTTAACGGCAGCCAACATGCTTTGTGCTAATCTCTGCTTGAGCTGTGTGCTGGATGCTGGCCAGAATGTTCAATACGTCACATAATAAGGTTTTTTGCATGCAGTTCATTTGTTCCTTTTTATTATCCCTCAATTTGGAGACCAGCACTGGTGCACATTGTACTACTGGAGGGATTTATGTGCTCAAAACCTTGGAGAGGTGTACTTGCTTCTGGCTTTTCTTGAAGACAACAAGATGACAACACTTACGTCTCACTTCTTACCTCCTTTCAGAAAATTGTGTTTCAAACATACCAAATATCCAGCTGCTAATATACAAAGTATTATTGAGGAGAATTTGTGTTTGGTCTGGTAGAATTTCTTGGCTGCAGGAAATTTCTGCTATTAAAATGTCTATTGTTTCAAATCATAACACAGAAAGCCAGAATTTGTATGTGGTTTATTGAGATGAAATGGTATAACACATGCACATGGAAGAAAGCTGAACATTGTGGCATCAATATGATAATGTTGCAACAAGAAGTTGATGTTGAAATTAATTTATAAATACATTGGAACTCACTGACATGTTTTTCATAGTACATTAAGATAAAGTGGGCAAGTTCCTGCAATACACTTCATTCTGGATAAACTATTTCCTATCAACAAAGCCACTTCATTTTTTTTAACAGACTACTTACAGCTCGGGGGGAGTTGCAAGCACTGCTTACCTTAGCCCTGAGCTGTGGCTCTCTGTGTTAATCATAAAATCACAATAGAATTACAGAATGGTTTGGGTTGGAAGGGACCTTACAGATCATATATTTCCAACCCCCTGCATGGGTAGGGACATAGTCCAACATGATGGAAGTGACTGAATGGGTAGGACTAACCCTCGGCTGAATATGACAGCGTACAATCCCCCCACTTGGCTACCGTATGAAAAGGACTGGCCAACATCAACTCTGCAGAAGCTGCTCTGGGAATCCAGCAGGAATTATTCCTGTTTCAGCAGTGCATTTATCACTTTCTGTTGCACGGATGAAATGATGCTCTCATCCTCACCCTGAAGCCGAGTCCTTGAACGAAGCCGAGTGAAGAACAGCAGAGTGCCTCCTTAAGAGAGACGAAAGGGGAGGAGAGAGCGTCTCTCTCTGGGTATAGCAACCCCACCTCCCGCTTATTTCATCTTCCTTACAAGGCTAAAGCCAGAAGCTTTCCTCTCGGCTGGGTCCCTTAAAATCAGGAGAACAAACCCCATGGATCTCGGTGGATCCAGCCGGGATGTGCGGCTGACAGAGACCGGGAAGGAGGCGCTTCCATGAGCCCTATGGAAAGCACAGCAGAAGAGGCTGGTGCTCTCCAGAGAAGTGTGACAGTAACCTATGAATCGTAAACCAGGTGTCCAGTGATGCAGATCTTCTAAAGAAACGTGAAACCAAACCCAAAAAGAAATCACTGAGGGGGAAAAAGTGCAACATGAGAGGTAAATATATTTTTCCTTGAGCAAACTGAGATAACTGGCTGTATTTTGTTTGAAAATTGTCATTGTAAGTAGGTGGCTGAAACTGAAATGCAGACTGAAAAATGCACTTATTAACCTCTGAATAAAGACTGGTCTGACTCTGACTTCAAAAGCAGCACTGGATTAAAAACTCAGATCAGCAGATGAATTCAGATGCCTCTGAAGAAATTTTGACGTTTCCCTTTAGGCATTCACAGCTTAAGCCCTTTCAAAAATCTACTTTTCTGTTTTGCTTTTTCTGCTATTGCTACATGTTTTCAAGTAGTAGTGTGCATGTTGTTTTGGGGAAAAAGCGTGGCACAACCAAAACCTAAACTGAGAATATGTCTCAGAAAACTGTCTCCAATGAGACCTTTCCAATGCTCCCATACCCTTGTTCTTGCAACAGTGCAATTTCTTCAGAAAGATCTGTGACCTACTGAGCTGGAATGTCTGTTGACATCTGGTAGAGGTTATTGTAACTGATATTTGGGGTTCTGGGTTTTTTTTTTTGGTTTTGTTTTTTTTTATTATTTTTTTTCAATTTAATTGAAACAAGATGAGATTGTCTGCACATTCTATGAAGTGTTTCCATGCTCTGACTGTCTAGTCTCTCTGATGGATAATTCCAGAGCTGCCAAATCTGAATGGGAAAAGAGGAAACACTTTTAGAGTTCCAAACTGCAGCCCTTCTGTGGACCATGCTGCCAGGGATAGTCAGTGGCTGAAAGATGCAAGACTTTGCCCCCTGTCTGTAAGATGGACTAAGACAAATGTTTTGCAAATGTGATACTACTGACTTCAGCATAACTGTGTTCCTGAGCTTCTGATTTACATCTTTGCAATGCTAGAGGACTTACAGCTGCTTTTGTTTGCCAGCTAAAACGAGAACTGGCCTGTGGAGAAGAGCTGCTGGGAGCTCTGACAGACCTTGAGGACTCCTAGACAGCGCCTGCAGATTCCCATTGCAGAGCTGTGGGTTCAGCAGTCCAGGATGGAGGTGCTACGCCGTTCCTCAGTCTTTGCTGCAGAGGTGATGGAGGTTTTTGACAGGTCTCCCACTGACAAAGAGCTTGTGTCCCAAGCCAAGGCTCTCTGCAGAGACTACATAAACTCAAGGCTGATTCAGGCGGGCGTCAGCTGGAGCAAACCCGAGTACAACGCCCCAGTGCCTGGGGGTAAGCTGGCCGAGGTGTCCACCATACTGCTACGACTTGGTGAGTCCTGCTGGCATGGGGGGACCTGCAGTTGGATGGAGTGATTTGGATCAGGATAAGGCTTCTGGAAGAGGCTTCTCATGTGATGATACAGAGGTTTTCCTTCTCTGCTTTTGGCTTTTAGTTTTGGTTTTGGTGATCTTTCCTAAACAGCTCCTTTGCTTGAGTTTCCTCAGTCTCTTGGAACACTGCTCAGCACAGGGTTTCTCAGGTTTCTTGGCAAAGTTACATTTTTCTGAGGACTTGCAACAGCTCAAAATCACAAATCAGTCTAAGAAAGCCCAGCAGCAAACTGATTCTGTGTGCACAGGTCTTCAGCTATGTAACAGTTCTCAGTACTTTGAGCAGTCATTCTCAGCTGGGTGTTTTAACTGGACTTGCAGTGTATTCTCCAGAGTGAGTGACTGAATTGCCACAATGCATCTGGCATTTCTAGGGGACTGCTACCACTGGATTTGGGCTTCAGCAGTAGCTCACCCAGCTTTAATTTGGGGGTAGTTGCTTAGGAAATCTGTTGTTAGAGATTGTACAAAAGCTGCTTTTTAATGACAGTGTGTTTAATTTTCCTTTGTCTACCTTAGTAAGACCTGAATTTTTCTTGCTTTTTACTGGAGCAAGAAGGAGTTGGTTGATGTTGTCTGGCATACACTGCCGTTTGGTGCCACCTTTACAGCTCAGTAACTGTGGGGGCTTCAGGGAGAGCAATTTGAAGGTCCTGCCTGGAGGCTGGAACATGAAGATATGCTTTAGAGCTTGTACCAGGAGCACCTTTTTTAATGTTAACAGTTGATTGGCCTTTTGTTTTGGGTTGTGTAGCACCCTGTGTGCTCAAGTCTAGCTGTTTGTCATTTGGGAACCCAGCACCTTTATTCTTGGAAGCTGCTTCCAACCTCCCTCTTTGCCTGCAGGCTGGTATATTAGCTCACATCTGGCTGGAAACTACCACCAGCATTTGCATCTGATTTGATTACATCAGAGTTCAAACAGGTCTGGTGAAGTAAGCATTAGCTGGGCCTAGCAAAGTCAGAACCAGGGCTGATGTTCCCACTTTCTTCCCTTTCTATCAGTTTGATATTATCCCAAGTTTATTTTTAAGACATAGCTGTGTTTGTTTTAATGGACTTTTTTTAAAAAAAAACTCATTCTTTTTCACTTTTTCTCTTCTATGCTGATTCTGCTTTTGTTTCCAGTGGTTGTTTGGTCTTTGAGGGAATTTTTTTGTTTTTCTGTCAATCTCACTGTCTATTTGTACTCCCTTTCTTCTCTGCCTGCACTGGGGGTTGAGATTTATGTGCTTTCAACACAATCTTCTGTGGGTGGCCAGGAACATGATAAAGGGCAAGCAGGTGGCTCACTGCATCTGAAGGCGTCTCCTGGATTGTCCAGATGGAAAGATTTGGCTGATAGTCCCGGGAACTTGGTGCCTTCTCTGAGCAAATCGGTTTGGAGAGCACCATGTGGTACCCATGCAACCAGAAAGGTGAGCAGTCCTCTTCATTAAGATGAAGAATAGTTTCCATCCTGTTTCTTTGGAAACTCCACTTGTCTTTCTTTTCCCCTTTGCTGCTCTAACGACCACGAGGCCAGCTGGCATCCAGCCACCTGCCAGGAATGGTAATCCTTAGCCACTTCCTAAGCAGTGCAACAAGCAGGACCAGTTTTTTCCTTCATGATAGTGCTGAGAAGCCTGTGGAGATGGGAAATTGGAGTATTTCCTAGCCCACTGCACACAGAGACTCTGATGAACTGCCTGGTAGGCCAGCAGAACTCCTGGGCACAGGCAATGCTGTTGGAGGTCATAGGGAGGGAGACTCCATCAGATCAGTGAGGCTTAGCAGCTAATTAGTGCAATTAATGAGTCAGACATGGTAAAGCCTAATGGTATAGCCAAATGAGGCACCCCAGACCAACCTGCTGGATCTGTCACAGGCCTGGTTTATCTGAACTTGTATTTCCTCAGGCCAAGGCCTAGGGAGGTGCCCTCTGACCACTGCAATGAGCTTCACATGGAAACTGCTACTGCTGCCCTGCTAATTCCTCCATAATCACTGGAGAAAAGAGGAGAAGCCCCCAAAATGTTGCGAAGTTGGGCATCAGAACAAGGACATTGGAGACCAGCAGCAGTGTAGAGGTCCTGGGGCTGGTGGGGCAGGGTGGCTTCCATGTGTGGGAATGCTTTCCTGTGCTTTCCTTCCCTGGATGCTCCTGCCTGCCATGTGCCTTGCTGCAAAACAGGGCACATGTGCCTCCAACCAAACCCTGATCTCATCTGGGGCCTCCAGGAACTGCTTGTTGGAAGTTGGAGCAGTGGCAGGTTACCAAGTGCTGATCCCACGCTCCTGTGCCCTCCTCTCAGCTAACCAGGGCTATCCCCATTTCCTGACATTTACCAGGAAGCCTGTGTGCTGCCTGTGAGGAGAAAACAGCTGTTGAGTAGTCCAAGTAAGATTTCCTCTTATCAAGGCTTACCATGTGTTGGCAGGTTTCCTCTTTCTGTCAAACAGGGACAATCTCTTACTTAGAAAGGGCTGAGAGAGCTCAGCTTTGAAATTCTATAGAGCTGGGTTTTGCCTGTGCTGAGTGCCAGATAAATGAATTAAGGATCAGTAACTAATACTCTATAAAAAGATCCTGATTGCAGTAACAATTTTCTTTTTACCTCTCATATAAATGAAATTTTGAGGAAGATCAGTTGCCCTCTGGCTGGGCCAAGTCACCTGGGTCTTGCAGTGGGATATAAAGCTGTTGGGATACCTCTTCCTCTTCCCAGAGCACCCTTGTGCCGGAGAAGAGCACAGTGTGTCCTAAATCTAAGCCAGAAAGGGCTCTCTGTGCACAAAGGAGCTTGGTCCCATGTGGTGTTTGCGTTGTGTCATGCTCCTACAGCAGCTGTGCAACCTTCATTAAATATCCATGAACCTCTGCAGAGAGAGAAATCCCTTGGGAACTGGGCTTTATTAATTCTACTACTCGAAAACTATTTGTTTTGCTACAACAGGAAAAGCTTTACTGTTGTTTCCCAAGCTCCATAGCTCAGTCCTTTAGGAGGAGGTTCTCTGCTTGTCCTTGGTGTTTTTTGTTTTGATCTTCAAGCTGGCCTAACACCTCCTGCCATTCCCAGCTGGGCAGAAAGCACTCTGGAGGTGAAAGTACACGTCTGTATGTGTCAGGTACCTTGCTGCTGAGCAGTCAGCCATGCAAATGAACATCTCTTTAACCATTTGGAGGGGAGAAAGAACTCCAGATTGACTCTCAAGTGCCTGTGTGAGCATAAAATAGCTGTCAGCCTCTTTGTTTAATTAATGTTGTGCAGCTCTGGGTGGATCCTTGGCTTTCATCAACCTTCAGCATTCCTGAGTTGCTCTCTTGCACTTGAGGCATTTTTGTACAAGCCTGATGGGGTGCTGAGGAAGGGCGTATCTCTCAAAAGCTTACATGGATGTACATGCCTCCTTCTCACTTCTGAAATAAAATGACATGGCTGTGGTTATCTGAGGCCTGTCTCCTGTGTTGGAGGAAAAGCAGGCAGCCAGCCTGGGAACAGTATTTCTGTCAGGGATTGCTGCAGCCACACCACTGGGACAGGGCCACTGCCTGCCTCTGCTCCCCTTAGGAGTCCCAGGGTAGGGAACTGCATCTGAACAACCCTAAGCACTCTGCTCAGGTGGAGCTGGCCTTCAGACTCTGCCTGAGAGTGACCCCAGCTGTGGTGGGAGCAGGGCTGGGTGCTGTGTGTGCTGAGCCCTGGCTGTTTTTTGGCAGGGGATGAGCTGGAGTACATTCGGCCCAACGTCTACCGGAACATCGCGCGCCAGCTGAACATCTCGCTGCACTCCGAGACCGTGGTGTCCGACGCCTTCCTGGCCGTGGCCGCGCAGATCTTCAGCGCAGGTACGGTGCCCAGACACACACACCTGCAGGGCTGGGTGCACAGGAGCAGCATGGAGCCACCTCTTGTGGGAAATGGATTTGTGGAGAGTTCTCAGGCCCTGATAGAAGGTCCACGTAGTATGTGTTTGTATACAAACTTTGAGACGAGAAATGTTGATTTGGAAATGGCATTGAATAGGATAGGTGTTGTTGAGAGAGAAATAGAGATAAGAAAAGTTTCAAAGATTAGCCTTACAAATAAGACTAAATATTTTGTAGAAATAAAACTATGAAAGATGCATTACAATGGGACCCACAAGGGGTAGTTTTAGATTATTGGTTTATAAGGCATCTACAGCATGGTAAAAAGCTGATAGGCCAAAAAATGCTTATAATGTACTGCAATTTGAAAATAGCTGGCTTCTGATTGTGATAGCATGAATTATAACATCTGTATTGTCTCACCCTTCTTATGAGACTGAAAATGGAATAAAGTTTTTAAAATGCCTCTCAATTGCCCCATCTCTGAGTCAAGAAATGGATACTATCCAACACCTTTCTCAGAGAAGGCACAGGCTGCAAGGTGGGGCCTGCTTTCTCAAAGGGCTGTGGGCAGTTTGGCAGTGTGCCCTGCTTTAATGATTTAATGTGAGCTCCTCTCTTCTGGCAGGGAAATGTCCCGGGTTGTAATATCCTCCCAGTAGGTTCTGTCTCATTCTAGAAGGCACCTCCTGCCCTTCCTCATTAGGAGGTGGTTGTTAACTCATTGCATAGGGAGGTCACTCATTCCAAGCTTCTTTGCTCACCATTGGCAGCTGCAGAAGATTCATTGCATGGGAGTCTCCCTTGTTCCAGCTCATGCTGCTGATGCTGGGAGCCAGAATCAGCTCATCACAAGAGAGCTCCTGTTCTCCTGGCTTCCTTTCCCACAGCAACACCCAGAGTTGCAATGAGACCTGCTGCTTCTCCTTTCTCATGCTGAGGAAGTCTTGGTCCTTAAGGCTGTTCCAGATGAGCAGGTGCTTTGAGCTTTCTCTCTGCTTAGATGTGAATGTTCTGCTGCTGCTGTTAGACTGGTTCCAGAGATGGTGGTCAAAAGCGTTCAGCTTTTGCTGGAAACAGTCCCTGCTCACAACTGGAAAAGCAGCCTGTGGGAATTGAGGGAAGATAAACCTTTTAGAGGGATTTATGTCAGGCAGGTTCTGACACGGTTATAGGTTTTCTGCAATGTCTTGTCTTTGGAAGGGATGGTAGATGTTAAGGATTGGAAACAAAACCAAAAAAAGGGGAAAAAACCCAAAGAAATCAGCTTGCTAGCAGGATAGCAGTATGAAACCACTGGAACCAGAGACAATAGTATGGGAAGTGCCACAGGATGCAGGGACTCGTGTCGCTTTGGCAGTAGTTGTTACAGGATAGAAGTCCAGGTTTCAGTTGTGCTTTCAAATAGGTTACCTCACTCAAAACCTTTTAATCCTCACAATCAACTGTGCTTCTTCATCTGGTACCACTGACATTCTGGAGAAGCCCTGGCATACAGAAGGTCTGAAGACCTGTGGTGGAGGGCATAGATCCTCCCCAGAATCATAACAGATGGCAAAATAGATCTCTGAGAGGAACTGCCTAAGCAGAGCTTCTGGCAGTTTGAGCAGGGCAGATTTTCCTCCCTGGACTAGGGAAATTGATGCTGTATCATTGGAAATGGATGGAATTGGACTGTGTGGCTGATATTGCAGCCCTCAACAGCCTTTCAGAGCATGCTTGGCTTGCAGCTTGCCTTTGCATTGGGCTGGCTTGGGAGGGTCTATGAGTTCAGAAGGCAAGAGCTGGGAAAGTATGGCAGGAATGTCTCAGTGTGGCCATGTACAAAGTGCAGGTGCCCTGTCTTAAAGCTGAGCTTTACTGGTGTCAAGGCTGACAGGAGAACAACAGTCAGGTTGGCAGGCTCAGGTGCAATTTGCATTGCAGGTGATCTTGGGTGACTACAGCTGACTGCATTGGGACTGGGCTACCTCCAGAGCTGCAGTGACACAGAGAGCAAAGCCAGGAATGCTGCAGGTGGAGCACACTGAGTGTGCTGTGATGCTGCATAACCCTGCTGCCTCCTGGGAATTCTGCTCTCAGTGTATATTGACAAATTCATGGAGAGCTGCAATTTTTTTTTTTTGTGTTCTTCAACTTCTCAGCTCAGGAGCCAAATGTGTGGGTAGTTTAAAATTAAAGTAGAAATCGTATCTCACCATTCTAAACCTGGGTTTTCAGGATATTAAGAATAGAATCTGGACTCAGCCCTCTGAGGCTGACAATGCTGGAGACTTTGGACTCAAGCTCTGTTGACAATGGGCAGCAGCCCCTCCTCTGGAGCCACCCTGCTGCAGAAATGGCTGTGCTGGTTGCACAGGGGCTGATTCAAACCTTCCCAGAGCTCTCCATGCTCTGCCCTTAATTCTTTCTCATCTCTACTGGGAGTTGTGTATTTAATTGCTTTTATACACTTGTTAATGTAATTTCTCCTAGGTAGAAGGTTGCTGAGTGGCAGAGGGGTAGGAGCTTGCTGTTTTTTAACATCCCTGGATCTTGCTGCAGTCTCAAAACTCAGCATTTAACAATAAATCCAGCAAATTGGAGTTGGCTGTAGCAGCCAGACATTCATTCCTTTTTTTTTTTTTTTTTTTTTCATACTTCAGAGGAAAGAGGCTCTTATTGAGCAAAGGAAACCAGACACTCAAGTTCAGGGTGAGTTTTCATGCCAATTACCAAGTTTATTAAGAAAACAGCTACAGTCTGTCACTACAGTGCTTAGACAGCTTGGAGAGGCCTACTAGTCACTTAAAATGCCTTTCCAGCAAGGAAGCAGGGGATTTTGACCCTTTTTTTCTAGAGAGGTTTTCTGTTTCGTCTTTTACATGTCTATCTTCCACATTCTGGTCTGGTTTTGAGTTTTCACATTGTAGATCTGTCTGTGCTTACTTCCTGTCCACACTGTCTACAAGTCTTGACTAAGCCCAAAACTGCCCTGAGCAGCCTGTTTCAATGCCTCTTCTTTCAGTGAAGAAATTTTTACTAACACCCAATCTAAACATCACCTGGTGCAATTTGGGGCCATTTCCTCTCGTCCTATGGCTTGTCATCTGGGAGAAGAGACTTTAGGCTCAAGCTGTATTTTGTTCCCCTGCTTCCAAACAACTCATGAGGTATTCAGGGTGAGGTGAGCCCACATGTGTGGAGACCAGCACTGCAGAGCCCTGCTCTGCTTTTGGTGGTAAAGGATCTGCAACAGCATCATCTCTGTGATGTTACCAGTGGTTCAAAGCTGCAGCATCATCTCTCTGATGTTACCAGTGGTTCAAAGCTGCTCTGAAGGTAGCAGGAGATATTCCCCTGACTTGCACAAGCTTTGGTTTGGAGCCTGGCTAAGCTGACCTTTTTCCTTACATTTTAAAACAAATGCCAGAAGGAAGTGGTCACTTGGTGGAAAAACAGAAGTAGAAAAGGAGGAGGCATTTTCCTTTCCTAAAGGAAGCAGTTCTGTCCTGTTTGTGAGAGCTGCTAGGCATGAGGGCTTTCTAAAAGCTTTCAGCCTGGTTTTTACTGGGTTTGGCTTTTCATCAAGAGTGCCTGGGCTGAAGTGAACCCTGTGCAACAGGAATGTAGGGTAAATGCTTTCTGAGGAGAAAGCACCTTCCCTGCAGGAGCAAATGGATGTAGATGACACCAAGCTGACTGGTGCTGTTGACGCGCTTGAAGGATGGGATGATATCCAGAGGGACCTGGACAAGCTTGAGAAGTGACCCATGGGAATCTCATGAGGTTATACAAGGCCAAGTGCTAATGCTGCATCTGCATCAAGGTCAGGATCAGTCCAGGCTGGGGATGAGCAGATCAAGAACAGCCCTGGGAGAAGGACTTGGGGGTGCTGGTGGGTGAGAACTGGACATGCCCCAGCCCTGTGTACTGGGACCCAGAAACCACCTGTGTTCTGGGCTGATCCCCCTGTGTGGGCAGCAGGGGAGGGGGAGATTCTTCCCCTCTGCCCCACTCAGACCTGTCTCCAGCCTGAGGGTCCCAGCACAGGAGGGACCTGGAGCTGCTGGAGAGAGTCCAGAGGAAGCACCAGGTTGATCAGAGGGATGGAGCAGCTCTGCTGGGAGGAAAGGCTGGGAGAGCTGGGATTGTTCACCTGGAGAAGGGAAGCTCCTGGTGACCTCATGTGGCCTCCAGGCCCCTGAAGGAGCCAACAAGGAAGTTGGAGAGAGGCTCTTTACAAGGACCTGGAGTGACGAGGGGGAATGGCTTCATACAAACAGGTAGTAGGTTTAGATTAGATATAAGGAAGAAATTTTTCCCTAGGAAGGTGAGGCCTTGGCACAGGTTGCTCAGAGAAGCTGTGGCTGCCCCCTCTCTGGAACTGTTCAAGGCCAAGTTGGATGAGGCTTGGAGCAACCTGGGATAGTGGAAGGTGTCCCTGCCTGTCAGAGACTGGAAAAAGAAATCAGATTTGAGACATCTTAGGATGCTTGGAATGCATGGTAGGGGTGGGTCAGACGTTGCTGTGGTGAGCTGGTGCCCTGGCACTGTACCCCAACCCTGCAGTGTCTGTCAGCCATGGCACCCTGAAGGCAGCCCCAGTGTGTCCAAGAAACTGCAAGTGCCACCTGGGACGAAGGCCCAGGATGGGCCAAAGCTTTAAGAAGCCTGACCACGAGGCAAGTACATTGTCCTTTAACCCTACCTTCAGAGTTTTACATCACTGGAACTGGAGTTAAAGCTATATGTCTGTTTTTCTATATCTTTCCTGTCTTTCTGTTTTTCTCCCTTTCTTCTCTCTTCTCACGGAACGTGACATTGCATGGGTTTAAAGGTTTTCTATGTTCAGTGGGCTAAGTCTATGCAATGGTAAGTGATGTTATGTTGTATTTACTCTTTTGCCAATGTTCCTTAATTTTCTGTAGTTTGCCAGCAAACTTTCATGTGTTTTTTACCTCTTGAAAATCTCTGGTTGGGATTTTCTCCTTTGCATCTATACAGAGCAAAAGACCCTTGGTTTTAACCGTGAAATTAAGTGACTGGGGTGTAACACTGCCCATGACAGGGGATTGGATGAGATGAGCTTTGATCTCCCTTCCAACCCAGACCATTCTGGATTTCTCTGAAATGCTGTTAAAAATGCATCCTGCTGCTCCCTCATCACTTAGGCCTTATGGCTTGAGCTTCCTGCCTTGTGCACACCCCTCTCAGCTTTTCTCTCCACCAAAGCTTGTTGTGTCTGGCTGCATTCTCCCAGCTGTTGGAGTGTAGCAGTGGATGGTGTTTCTTTAAGGTCTAATTTGTGAGCCAGACTTTGATGCTGAGTGGAGCAGAGGAAAGTTTATTTGAATAACCTCAGGTTGTGTGGTGCCCTGAGACTGCACAGTCGTGTCTCATGGCTTCTTCATCTCTCCCCTGGGGCAGACAAGCTCATATGAGCAGGAACACTTTCAAGAGCATTCCTCTTCTGCTAATTCATTTTACCCGGGGCTCAGCAGTGTTTACATACCTTCAGCTCCATGGCTGGCCTAAAGAGTGCAACTTGTATTTCTTATTTTTTATATTGCCTTCTAAGCAGCCCTTCACTTTTTCCATATCTTTTGTTCCATGTCTGTGAGCAGAGCTTTCTCTCTTTTGACTGCTTCTTTTTGGACCAGCTTTCCATTCCCTGTTGTTGTTAGCTCCCGTGCATGTTAATCCACGCAGTGGGAAGCTGGGAGTGGATTGTCTTGCTTGGTGATGAGTGCCTGTTTCACCCAGTGTGGATGACAGCCAGGCCTTTTGAGGAATTTGGAGCGAGGCAATGTGCTTTTGCTTCTCATGTGCAGTGGCCAGATGCAATTCCAGCTTATGCTGAGATGCACTAGTGACACTAGTGTCACTTTGAACCTGGCCTGGACATCACAGGGGACAGAGGCACTGCCCTCTCAGTAACTGTGCTCCTCTGCCCCTGCCAAGGGAGTGCTTGAGAAAGAAAATTCATGGAGCTGGTGTCCTGGGAAAGTGCAGAGGAGGGCTGCTGGGGCTGCTGCCCTCTCCTGCCTGTGGCTGGATGGGTGCTGGAGCCCTCCTGGGCAGGGGGCCTGGCCACAAGCATGGCCCAGGTGTTGGAGGTGCTTCTCTTCCCTTGCTCCCTACAATATCTAGTGAGAAGAAGAGCATAAGCTGTGCCCTGCTGTTGTGAGTGAGAAGCCCAGCCTGCTGTCTCCATCTTCTGCCTCCAGCAGTGGCAAGGGGACTTCAGACAAATGGAAATCAGGCAGGGATGCCTTCCTCTCCTGCCCCCATGGACTGACTCTGCCAGTAACAGGAAAGGCAGACTGAAGGATTGGTTTGACCCCTTCGGGCATGCTCTGGAAAGAGGATGTGACCCCTGAGCCCTCCACATCCATCACAATTATAAGCATTAACCAAGAACTTGTTCTCTTTCTGCTGTGAAAGGGAGAGAGGTCTCTCCACGGGCCAGGGAAGCAATCATCTCATGTCAGTCCTGCAGCAGGCACCACTACAGAACAATCTTGGCAGGGAATCTGGAGCTGAAGGGCTTCCTCTCCATCCTCTCTGGACTCAGGTGCCTTAGAGCAAACTGCTTTCCTGTATGCTGGGGAAGTCATGGTCTCTTGAGCCTCTGTCTTTCACAGGTTGATACACTTTTCTTCTACTGGAAAGTGAGGCTTGGGTTCAAAACAACATTAACCAAGACTGGAGCTGTCTTTCTGTACCAGAGTGACTTCAGTACTGTCAGTCTTTGTTACTGCCACGTAAACAACTCACAGCTAATGGACTTGCTTCATATATTTGAAGAGTGCTGTCAGCAAAAGCTTGGGAGTAAGCCAGTGAACTATTCCCTGGAATTTTGGGTAACTTTTGTTATGTAACTCAGAATGCAGGGAACCACATTTCTGCAGGGATGGAGAACTGTAAAACTGACTTATACTAAAGCTGAATAAAAGCCAGCTGAGGCTCTGGTCCTGAATATATCATCAGCAAGGAGTGTTACCCCTTAAAGCCTCTTTTCATTAGGTAGAACTGTACTGACCTGCACTCAGACAGCCTCTTCCTTGCAGGGAGAACCCCTCTGTCTAATCTTCTGTGGTTTCATAGCCTCTTCCTGGCTCATTCTGCTGGCTGTCATGGTGACACACAATGTGAGAAAGGCAGATAAATAGCGTGAATGCCAAACTGGCAGTGAACTTCCTGAGTGACAGCTCTGGTGTCAGGGACACCGCAAGGTCTGCTCAGCAAATAAAACCAAAAGAACAGTCACTTTAGCTACATTAATGACTTCCTCTGATCTCAGGGATAGTTCTGGGGAAAGACAGAGTATCACACAGGATTTGAGAGCCTCACAAAAGGTTCATCTGTAGATTTTTATCTTACATTAGTCATGAAAAATGAGGCTTTTTGTAACACTGAATGGATTTTCTTCGGTCTAACAAGGTATTCATGTGGCTGACATTTGAAGGGTTCCTCTAAAGTTTAGTTCTTTTTTTATTTAAGGAAAAGAAAAGCAAGCAATTCCTAAAAGTGTTAGTGCGAATGTCCCTTCTGAAGCACCAAGTGGAAGAATTGTGGAAATGCTCTGAAATCTGCATGTTTTCTAAAGAAATATAGGGTATTCTGCTGCAATGAGAACTGCTGTGAGGAGGCTGGAGCTCCATCCCAGAGCTGGTTCAGGCTACCTGGGGATCTGAGAGTACAAGGAAGGAAAGAGAGAGACTCTTTACCCCATTTAAATTGTATTTGTGCATGCTGAGCACATCCAGTTTTCTAATGGTGTGTTTAACCCCTCCTGATCCATAGATCTAGTCATTGCACACATCTTTCCATCCTCTCACCTTGCTGCAACCCTGCGAGAACAGTTTTCTGTGGTTTTTAAATATTAGAACTTCACCAGGCTTCTGCCTATGTTTGGGAGAGACTTTGGACAGATTCTACAGAGACCCAGCACTGTAAAATGCTTCACAGTATGCTTGATAAATATGGCTATTACAGATAATAAATCACAAGGGGGATATGCCATTGTGCAGCAGTTCTGCATGGGAGTGAAAGGGTTGTGTTTCCAGGCCACTGGTCCTGAGGGAAGCCTGATGAGGGGCAGCTGACTGCAGTGTTTGAGCATGAAGGATTTCTGACTGCAGTGTTTGAGCATGAAGGATTTATGCCCAGGGGTGTTGGTGAGGTGCAGGGGAGCCCCTGGGAGGTTGGCTGGTACCTAGAGCTGAGCTCCCGTGCTTACCACTGACACCAACAGGAAGATCACTACTGCTAGGACTTCTGTGGAACATTTGCTGCAGGCAGGTCAGCCTGGCAGGAAGGCTGTCTTCTGGGGGTTTAGATAGCTGACTGACTCTCCACCCCTGCACTGTCTTCAGTGGGGTAGCACAGGCAATGTTAAGTAGGCAGTGGCCAAATCCTTGGCTCTACCTGTTTTTCAGGTGGAGACTGAGGCCTGGTCCTTACATTGAAGAGAACACCAGCCCTCGTGAGTGCAAGGGGAGAGGGAGGCACTCTACTCTCTGGTGAGCAGCAGCAGGACCCAAGGAATGGCATGAAGCTGTGTCATGGGGGTTAGATTGGGTTTCTTCCCCAGAGGGTGGTCAGGCACAGAACAGGCATACCAGGGAATATCACAGCCCCAGGGCTGCCAGAGCTCCAGAAGCATTTGGACAAAGCTGTCAGGCACAGGATGGGATTGTTGGAGTGTCCTTTGCAGGCCAGGAGCTGGTCTTCATGATCCTTGGGTATCCACCCAGCTCAGGATTCTATGACTCCTCTATTCTAGCTCTGATTCTGTGAACCATCTTGGCCCCATAACTTTGCCTCTCTTTGTTGTTTTGGTGCCATTATAGAACTGAAGATGTTTATCTTGTATGCTTTGAGTGTCACATTGGAACAGTGATTAGAAAAACACAGGAATGCTTTATCTAAGGGTGTTTAAGCTTTATGTTGAAGACAAAACCCTCAGGTTGTTCAAATGATTTGAATTCTGTCACCTCCTATGCAGCATGTGCATGGCTGAGAGCCAGTGGCAATGCAAAACATAGCAGTGCATATCTCCCCTATCCCACTGGTGCCTTTGGGCTGCTTTTTTTCCAAAGCTGTGCAGCCATTGCTGAGAGGCAATCAAGCCATAGCAAGCTCATATTATCTCACTCTGCTTCTCCATGTGGAGAGTTTTCCCTGTTCTGGTCCCCTACTATTTCTTCTCCCCCATGTGGAGAGCATACAGAACTGTGGCTGCACGCAGGCAGCACGGACACGTGTAATGAGAGTCAGAGCCATTCCTCTGATTGTTCCAGGCTGAGCTGAGTGTGTGTAAATATGAATGGCCTTCTTCCTTCTCACAGGTATCACGTGGGGCAAGGTGGTGTCTCTCTATGCCGTGGCAGCTGGGCTGGCAGTGGACTGCGTGCGGCACGCGCAGCCAGCCATGGTTCACACCATCGTGGACTGCCTCGGAGAGTTTGTCCGCAAGACCTTGGTGACATGGCTGAAAAGGAGAGGAGGCTGGGTAAGAAATGCTGTCTCATTGGACTTGTTTCTGCATGTCCAGACCAGAAAATATCCCAGTTAATGAAAGTGAGAGTATGCTCTCTGCAGATTTATGCAGAAAAAGGCTGTGTGAGATTCACTCTCACAATGCTGTGGCCACGTCTGTCGTACTTACACCTTACACCTGTGCTAGACTTATTTAACTCAGTTACTGCCTCGTGGTCCCATCCTCAAAATCATCAGTTATTCTTGTCTCAGCTTCCTGCATAGCTGAGACATAATGATAATGATAATAATAATAATAATGATAATAATAATTCAGTTCTGACCCACCAGCACCTGTTGTGTTCCTGACCTTCCCCAGAGCTAACAGCCAGTCATAGTGGGACACTGTGGGGTCATTCCTGTGAGGCACGGGCAAGATTGCCCAGAGAAGCTGTGGTTGCCCCATCCCTAGAAGTGTTCAGGCCAAGATGGATGGGGCTTGGAGCAGGCTGATTTTAGAGGAAGGTGTCCCTGCCCATGGCAGGGAGTAGAACTGCATGATCTTTAAGGTCTCTTCCAACCCAAACCATTCTTTGATTCTGTGATACTCTTGGCCAGCTGTTTTCTAGAAACTGGCAAAAAATTAGGCCTGCCAGCTTAATTCTCATTTCACCTCTAAGCACTGGACTTTCTGTACTTAATGTGAGCATTGGTTCCTGTGGAAGATGGTTCATAGTAAGATCTTTATTTTGGTGCTGTGGCATAGCTAAATACCTTTCCAGTGACCTCCCCAGCTGACTGGAGAGACTGGCTGGCTGTGTTAGGGGCTGGCAGCTGGGTGGTGTCTGTATGTACCAGGTTCCATGTGCAGGGACACAGACAGTCCTTGGATCCTCTAGTGTGCTGCTGGGCAGATGCTACCTGGGGCAAAATATTGCCCTATGACACCACTCAGTTCATAGGACATCTTGTTCCCAAGGCATGCACTCTTTCCAGACTGAGCCACAGCAGAAAATTTCCTCTTTTCCAAGAGGTGAAATTTATTTCTAGGCTGTCAGGAAATAGTCAGGCTCCTCACCCATAGAGATCTGGAGAGAGTGGAATGTCTTTTTCCAAACTTAGTATTGCTCCTTTGTGCTGAGACTTCCCAACTGTGTCAGTAGCTGGTTCAGTTACCTGATTTCTTCAGGAGTGTGAAGAACTGGGAAAGTATCATTGTTCTGGGTTTGGATCCCTTGCACTCACGAAGTACCCATCCTACCTTAAATCATCCCTGCCCTCTCTAAAACTGTGTTACCTCGAGGTCGGTTGGGCTAAAAGTAACCTTTGGTTTGAATGCACTGATCGGTTTCATTTTATGTTCCAAAAATTAATTGTGCCGAGGCAGGTGAAGAGGATATCCTGGGATTAAGCAGCACTGTTCCTGCCTGTGAATGCCAGTCCCTGCCTCAGTACCATTTGAGTCTTACTTTAATTGCAGGCCTGTAGAGCTGCTTGATATGTGTTCTCTGAAACTTTTTTTTTCCCCTAAGATGTACGTTCATTAAAACAGAACTGTTGTGTACAAACACATCTCTTTCTAGTTTCCAGCTATTTTTAATTTGTTTTGGTAAAACTTGCATGCTCTGATAAGCTAGCATCTTGTTTTAATTTTTGTATTGCTTCATTAGAGTTCAGAACAGAATGCTTGAATAGTTCCAAAACGATATTTTTGGAAAATTTGTTGCATAGCAAATAAGCTACAAAACCCATCTCCAGACTAGCACTGGTTCTGTGCAGCTGAGGAGATAAGTCCACCACTGGCTTCTTCTGCCAGCCATCCCTCTTTAGATGGACATCACATTCCTATTGGAGTTGCTGAATCCATGCTGATTGCTCTTGGGATCTGGCCCTGAGGAAGGGAAGCCAAATTCACTGCCCCTCATCAAGCACAAGACTGTGAAGGCTGCTGGGCTGTTCTGATACAGCCCATTTCCAACACCCTTATCAGCAGCTCTGAGCTGTGAAAAGGAAATGCTTTCCCTCTAGAAACGAGGGGTCCCTTCAGTCTGGGGAAAGGCTGCTAATCCCATCTTGTGCTGTGCCTCCCTGAATGTTCTTCCTCTTGATCTAGGCACTGCAACAAGGAATTTCCCAGCCTTGTTCACTCACAGGCCAGACCAAATAGCTCTTTGGTGGAACCCTGCCACCCACTGCCAGGCTTAGCTTGTGTTGGTTTGTCCTGGCATGCCATCCTTGTTCACATGGCCCCCATCTCTTATGCAAGAGGCTGAGGCTGAGGCTGCCAAGAGTAACCCCAATACCCTGAGCTGGTCCAGGAAAGACACCATGGAGACTTTGAAAAGGCATTTGAAGCTCTTCATTCAGCAGCAGGTTCCCATGCTGCTTCCATAGGGTGAAGAAGACTGCAGAACCAATGCAAACCTCACAGAAAGAGCAAGAAAGAACCTTTGAGGCATCATCTCTTCTTGGGAAGGGTTTGCAGCCTAAGTAGTGGCTTTACAATGGAATAGAAAGATTTAAGTAATTTTTTTTAGCAACGTACAAAACATTTTCTACAAAACAGTGTACGTGATTTGAATTTGTTTGAACAATTAACATAGAATATCAAACTGCCATTGCAGCAGTTTATGAGTGCCTGACCAAGCAAAGAGCCCTAAGTGGCTTTGAAGTTTTCAATTCCACTGCCTTATCAGGTAGGCTTGACTTGGATAACAACAGCTAAGGCAGTTGTTAAACAGCTGAGCAATTTTGCTTATCTAAGCAAGCCCCATAGAAATTTGTGAGAGCTTCTGAGTGCAGCTCCTCTTGGTTAGAGCAGTGAGGTCATTGCCTTTGGGAGAACAGAGCAGGGCTTTAAGGAGTTCATGTTTTCTCATCTGGCAGTTACCCCCCTCCAGCTGTAACCAACCCAGTGTGTATGGACCTTGTACTGGCTCACGAGGCACTAAAGCCCATTGGAGGCTACGTTTCTCAAGGATCAGGTACCCCAGAATGTGTGTTCAGACAGGTACCTGTGTGTCATGACCTCTCTCAGCTAAAGGGACAGTTTGAAACAAGTGTGTTTTAAACATGACCCCCTGCAGGTTGCTAGAATCTGACAGGTTGAGTCAGTTCAGACTATTTTCAAATGCACATAGGGTGAGTGTGCTATGCCATTGCTGGCAGTGTTCAGGGAGACCCACCTTACTTTCCTCCACAATACAGATCAGTTCCTGTAACCACTGGTACCACATTGCAGCATCCTCTGGCCTTGGCTCTGCTTGCTGTGTTTGTCATCTTTTCCAGCTATAGGCAGCACTATTTCCACACCTTGGTGCTGACTCAGCTCTCCCCTGTCATCCAGTTCCTTCCCATCATTGCATGCTCTGTGTTCCTTCCTTCTGCAGTCTCTGCTTGTCACTTATTCATGAGCTCAGCTTCTCCTGATGCTCCCAGGAGATCAGCAATGCAGTGAGGTGCACTGGGCCAGCCTTCCAGACCGGGTGAACAAGGAAGAGCTGGAAAATGTAGGAGGCTGCTGCCAGCACAGCTTTGATCTGTAGGTGATTATGGGGTTGGTTTGTGTGGCTGTACTCACTAACCAGACTTTGGGATTTGTCCCTTCGGCCCCTTTTTTTTTTTTCTTGTGATGACCAAGGTTGGTCAGGCAAGGCTCATGCATGTCTTGACACAAGCAGAAGGAATAGAGAAGATTATTGGAGCATCCATCATCTCTTGTGTCCTGTTTTGGGGAGGAACACCTCAGGGTTGAGACTCACTTGTCTGTGCTCAGTCAATGAGAGACTTATGTCAGAAGGTAAATTTGGAAGTCTGCTCAACTAAGCTTGTAAAGAAAAAGCTTTTGGGGCTGTGAATATTTGCCATCCTTGTGATGTGATTATTGTTCCCATTTGGTACCTAAAAGCTGTTTCTGAAAACCACATGGGGTTGATGTGCTAACAGTGCACCCCCTGTTTCACAACCACAGTCCACATCTTGTTATGCTAAGCTGGAGTTTAACCAGAACTCAGTTACATTATGGACAAAGCTTTTAATTTTGATTCTTGCACCAGAAAAATGCATTTTTCTCTCTACCTCTGTCCTGTTCTCTTCACCTTCTCGATATTTTCCATTTTCTCCTTCCCATGCCAGCCAAGAGCCTATTTCTATCCATTTGATGTGGGTTTTTTTGGTTGTTTTGTTTGTTTTAATTTTTTAAATCATTGCAGTCCAGCTTCTCATTAATACTTGAAACTGAATACCCAAGTGATCTTTAAATCTGGCCCACACATCTGGGAGGCATCTCTGCTGGCATATATATTTCCACAAACAAAGCTACAAAGCTTGCCTTGCTTTAGATTTAAATTGGGGGACGGCTTGCTTGAATGTCTTCCAAAGAAAGCATTAAGGCAAGGGAAAATGTACAAGCAACTTGAGCTGATATTAAACAGGACAACCTCTGGGAAGCATCTGGCTTTACAGAAAAGGATGGGAATGCTGATACTGCTGAGGCTTCCTAGACCTTTTGAACAGGGAAAGAAAGTTGTATTTAGCTATCCAAAATGGAAAGTGCTGGATAATCTTCCTGTAGCATTTCTTTCCCCAGGGATGGCAGAAGAGGGGGACATTTTGCCTCATTGCTGGGGAATTAGGAAAGTGTGTTTTGCAGGGCTCTTGAGCCTGATTTAATAACTTTTGGTGTGTGGAAGTGTCAGAGCCAACACCTGGTGCTGCAGCAGGGGTGGTGTCATGCCGTGGGCTGTGTCCCAGCAGAAGTGGCTGACCTGGCAATGGCAGCAGTTGCACTGGCAGTAAATGTCAAAGAAAGAAGCTGTAAAGACCGAGGAAAGTAAATGCAAGTTATCAGGAGTCAGCACAGGAGATTTTGATGCAGTAGCTCAATCTTTTTGGCTGGGGATAGTCACAGATTTAATCAACCTTTCATACGAGGTGTTGGAGCAGTTGAACAATAACCTATGAAAGTTATAATGGGAATGTTCCAGGACCATAGGAAAGGTAATACTTCCACAGTGTTTTGCCAAAATTTTTTTG